ATAATAGAGATAAACTCTAAACCATCTTTCGGCGATGCCATAAATATGTGTAAATACTTTTTAAATAATATTTCTCTGTTGCAGTAGATTCAACAGAAGTTGCCACACCGCCCAGACCCGTTTTCACGCTTCAACCAAAAAGTGGTTATTTAGTGAACGATAATCCAGTACGAATTGAATGTCGCGCCCAGCCCACATCAACTATACAAATTAAATGTTTCGGAGAGCTTGTGCCAATAGCCGAAGTGGAAGTTCTTACGACGTTTGATGAATCTTCCCAACAAATTCAACATGTTGCCTATGGTAAGAGAACCATTAGGCCTATACTTTATTCTGGTGAAAATAATGTATGGTTTATATATGCAAAAATATAAATAATAACATTATATAAATGATAGTAAAATTCAAATTGAAACATGTAGACCTAACACAGTTAATACTTCCATTAAAATATTGTATTTCTTTGTCTAATACTGTCAAATTTTATAACGTTATATATGAAATAAAAGTCATACTTATTGGCATTCATACAGCGCAAAAAGATGCAAATGCCTATCAGATGATCCCAGGCCCGTAGCGTGACTTAATTTGTGGGAGGTTCGTTGTAGTGGAAAGTGGACCCTTTGGCTTGTATGATCTCCGATACTCTGGAGAACATTGTAAATATATCCACGAATATCATTTTTTTGTTTTTAAATGCGGACCTTCTCCAACTTTTGGGCGGTTCGTCGTAATCCCCTTCCCCCCCCCCCCCCGGATCCGCCCTTTGAATTGTGCCATAGACATAATATATCGTCAGGCATACATTTATGTATGTAATTTGCACAATCCATCCGTAAATTTTGCACAATTTTCCTCCTTCGAATTTCTGTATCCGCCATTTCGCCAGCATCTCCTTAATAATTTTATTTTAAGTGGTAAATAAATGTTCAGTTCGTGTATGATTTTCTTTTGCAGAAGTAACAAAAGCTGCAGTTCATTCTCACTTTGGAGAATACTCGTGTCAGTGTACTGCATTAGGGCAAGGCAATATTGAAGAAAATAGCAGAAAAGCTATAATTCAGGTGGCCTGTAAGTTTCGCCTTCTTAATAATAATAATAATAATAAAAAGTGGTTGTGACTCATTAACTACCTAAATAGCTGACAACTGTACGTGCATTATGAGAGACAGTAATTATAATAATGTTGAACAAGTCCTGTTTTCATATCTCACAGATCTACGCAAATATTTTACACAAGAACCTCGTGGAATTACATTGGAAATAAAGACTTCGGCAGAACTGCTATGCATCCCACCGCTTGGCAACCCTTCCCCAGATGTTTACTGGGAGAAAGATAGTCAGTTGGTTGATCTCACCAGTGACAACTATATCATGCGGTCGGAAGGCCATCTTATTATCAATCATGCTGTGTTAGAAAACACTGGCAATTACACGTGCGTTGCTGGAAACCTTGCAGCTAAAAGAAAAAGTAACACTGCAGAAGTTATTGTCTACGGTAAATATAGGCCCTAAAGCGCTAAACTATTTTTACGTTAAACTGCTTATCTCATCGTTCCTTTCTAATCGTATGCACCAGTCTGCCGATTTATTTGTTGTATTGTTGAATTTGGTATGAGAATATGCATATTTTAGTTTTTTAGGAAGGTTTTGATGGCAACATTTATACATTTCAATTTAATTTATTTTGATCGTTCTTTTTTAAATGTTAATTTTTGTTTATATATTTTTATATATTCAATGTGAAGTGCTGTATAAATTTAAATTTTAATAAATTTTAAATATAATCTATTGTGTGGTATTATTGGTGTAATGTTACTGACTCGGTCCCTTAGCTTTTTAGCCCTCTATTAAATAAATAAATAAATAGTAAAAACGACTGTTAGGCTATCTTTATTAGGCCTGGTTAAGATTGTATATCTATATTTGAATAGTTTTTTAAAAAGGGCCTTCTCAAGTTGGTCAGTGCTGTTAGAGTCACTCTCTCAAAATCTTGTTGAATATACAACACGATCACTTTGGCCAAACTCTCTCTATCTACGGCTCTGATGATACGCAGAGCCATATATATAAAGAGTTGCGACATTCCGCTCCTTGGTTTACGAAAGTCACGTGGTAC